CACTCAAGATCTTGGATTTGCACTAGTTATATCCATAAATTACATGGCATGAGCGTAACGGAGTGATCCCAGATTGGCCAGCTCGACATTGATCATTCAATTAAATTAACCAACCTCGTACTGGGCTTATACTTTGGCCCGCTTCAACAGCCCATCATGACCCATTTTCTTCCATTCGTACAGATGAGCTCATTTCATTCCAAAGAAACCTTAGCCAATTCTTTTCCCTCTTGCACTTACATTTTTTTTTTCCGCCCGATCGTTGACTTGATCATCAAAGTGCAAATGATCATCAGGCCCTTCTCTCGACTAACAACCTTTGCTTGCTAATAACAGGATGTTCGAATTTGCAAGTTACGACTACATGAAAGGGAAGTGGTCGAAATTCTAATAGCGCATTTTTTCATATCAACAGTATTTTGATCCAAATATTTTTAAAAAGAAATATAATATAAAGAGAACCATAATAATACGTCAGAAATCTTTATTTATAAATAAATATATCTTTAGTGGGGAATTTTATCAATTTAATACTATCAAATTTAGGAACATACATAAAAATAATAATAATAATAATAATAAATAATAATAATAATAATAATAATAAATAAAAACAAAAAAAAAACAAAAATAGAATCTGCAGAAGCACGTTTCAAATTATTTCTTGATTGATATTTAAAATTGCAGTTCAAAGAAACTGACGAAGTAAATAGCTGGTGACATAAATTGTTCTGCAAATATCAATGCTAATTTCTCACTACAATATGGAAATCTGGTAGTTGAGGTTACAACCACAGTACTACACTATGGAAATCTGCTAGTTTCCATCACCAATCATCATTCATCATACACTTCTTCTTCATCGTCATACTCGCCCTCCTCGTCGGCTGTTGCATCTTGGTACTGTTGATATTCCGCCACCAGGTCATTCATATTACTCTCAGCTTCAGTAAACTCCATCTCATCCATTCCTTCACCAGTATACCAATGCAAGAAAGCCTTCCTTCTAAACATGGCCGTGAACTGTTCACTAACCCTGCGGAACATTTCTTGAATTGATGTCGAGTTTCCAATGAATGTCGATGCCATCTTTAATCCAACTGGAGGAATGTCACAACAAGTTGATTTCACATTATTAGGAATCCACTCGACAAAGTACGAAGAGTTTTTGTTCTGGACATTCAACATCTGCTCATCAACTTCCTTTGTGCTCATCTTTCCACGGAACATAGCAGAAGCTGTCAAATAACGACCATGGCGAGGATCAGCAGCGCACATCATGTTCTTTGAATCCCACATTTGTTGAGTAAGCTCTGGAACTGTTAGAGACCGGTATTGCTGAGACCCACGTGAGGTGAGAGGAGCAAATCCCACCATGAAGAAGTGGAGACGAGGAAATGGAATGAGATTTACAGCAAGTTTACGGAGATCAGAGTTGAGCTGGCCGGGAAATCTCAAGCAACAGGTAACTCCAGACATGGTTGCAGATATCAGATGGTTCAGATCACCAACTGTCACAACAAAACAATTATTTGCCACAATTAGAAATAAGATTTCACAAATACAAAAACTTTTTAAATTTAGACATTATGCTTGACATTTGAAACAAAATTTGGAATCACACAACAGTCAGTCAAAAAATTGGATTTATATTTATGAATTCAGAAAACTCACAGCTGGGAGTCGTAAGCTTCAGCGTCCTGAAGCAAATGTCATAAAGGGCCTCGTTGTCAAGAACCATACATTCATCAGCATTCTCTACAAGCTGATGAACAGACAATGTAGCGTTGTAAGGCTCCACAACAGTATCGGAAACCTTGGGAGATGGGAAAACTGAGAATGTCAGCATCATCCTGTCGGGATACTCCTCCCTTATTTTTGAAATCAACAAGGTCCCCATTCCAGACCCTGTTCCTCCTCCCAATGAATGGCACACCTGAAACCCTGCATCCAAACACCACACCCGTGAGCAAAAATATTCACAAACGTGTAAATAAGTAGCCTAAACATTGATGACAGGCACCATTTGCACGAACAATGAATATATATGTGGAAAGAAAAAACCCAAAACATTAATTTTTCTAACAAACAATGATTCAAACACTTGGC